GCTGAACACAGGAATTCATGTTCCATGGTTCTCAGATTAAAGCTGTCATAGTGGGCTTGCTTCAAACAGTACAGATCATTTCCTATGTATTCCAGCAGAGTCCTTGCTTTCCTGTGCTTCTGTTGCTGGAAATAGGTGGGGACAGCATGGATTTTGCACATTTGCAATTCTGTTGGCTTGTTACATTTCTATAACATTGCAGTATTTGCAGACACACGCATTTGACATCAGAGGACTCCAGGACTTAAGAGAGCACATGAACACACTCCTCTATAACTAAAACAGCCCAGGATGTGTTTTCCCTTGAGCATTATACCAGTTTTTGATGTATCATTCTCCTTTCCTACTCTCTTCCTCCACTCCACCTTTCTCCCCTTTTCTTCCACTTCCTTTTTCTCACCCCCTCACCAGAGCATATATATGACACCATAATCACAGTGTTATGTATTACAATTGCTTACTTACGCTGTGTGCTATATATAGCAAAGAACACAGCTAAATTTGTACTGTAATAACTTATTAACTGGTTGTCACATAAGTGGGACTTCTCATTTTTGAACAATGAGTCATTTTTATTTAGTCATTACTGAAAAGAAAGTTGAAATTAAGCTGGAGCACTAGATTCAAATCTAAATGTCTGAAAGTGTTACAAAACACTCACTCTATTTAACTATTTGCCAAGATAAAACCAAGAAAACATTCTATGTTAGCACTGTTCTGAGCTTATGTTACATTCTGCCACTATAATTTTTCAGGTTTTCGGTGTTGATTAAGCCTTTAGTAGTGGTTTAGATTCAGATCCTACTATTTGTTAAGCCTGTAGTGAGACTATGGTTTTCAGGGAGTTCCTTGTGTATGTAATTGTCTGTGCGTGTTGTAACATTTGATTTCCAAAAGAACATAACACCTTACCTTTGCCCACCAGCTTGAGAGGATGAAGTAAGTGTTAACATTTTCCTCACCAAACTGTTCTGCCACATAGAGCCCTAATGATCCATACTTGTCATATATGTTTTGCTTGGACAGATCAGTCAGTGTTGCATAAGCATTGTTGATCTCTTTAAATTTTTCTGCAGCCTCTGGATTGTCTGGATTCTTGTCGGGGTGATATTTCAGAGCCAGTTTTCTTAAATATGGAAAAAAAAACCCAACAGAGAAAAAAAAATCATCTGTATGTGTGCATGTATACAGACACATACAAAACGTTACAAAATATTTTAATAAAGATATAATCTTTCTGAATAGTGTGTTCAGCCTTCTTTTTTCCAGCTCTGACGTACTCAGTGGAAGAAAAGTGACACAAAGTGACTGAACATGAAAGTTTTGGTAAAAGAGATGTTCCTATTACACTGAGCATCAACTTTGTGTATTGATACCTAGTAAGCCACCATGTTAAAGGAGACAGTGGTATATGCTGAAAGCACAGATTGCAGCACGATAATAAATCACGGCCATTTGTTGCATTATGACTGCCAACTGATTTGCATCATTTAGCAGGTTTCAACAAAGATAAAGATTTTTTAAAAGATTGTTTAAAAACCTGACGATAGCACTGCTTATCCCATCAACATTATCTTCTTTATAGCAAAGCAAATTCTGTATTTCATTGCCTATCAATAGTAGCTACATTAAAATTTTGTAAATAGTGTCTGTGTTTGCAGAAGCCCAGACAGTGATGGTGGAAAACGCAGGAGTTGCAATAGAAAGGAGCATCTTTCTGAATCACAAGGGGAGTCAGCCCCAGTTTCAAGTACCTGTCTTTGGGCCTAATTCCCTACTGCTGCACTTCTGAGACAGTCCTTAAAGCAGTGGAAGCTGATTGTCCGCTGTTTTGGGCTGTTTATGCTGGTGGGAAGCCTTTGCTAGGACAGGGTTCAGTACTTGCCTTTTTCCCCTGACTGTACTCAGCACTATGGCACCTGAGGACAGGTACAGCTTGAAAGGAACGCTGTTGGACTGCTGGCTCACGGAGCGCTCTGGGGAAGCACAGCTTAGAGAAGAAAGGGTTTGCTTCTAACCGTGTTGAAGCACCAGCAGTGCAAGTTCACATGTACTTGCAAAACAAGCATAGACAGAAGTGTTATGTTTTCAAAAATCTCGACTCTGAAGAACATGCAATAAGATTTTCCCAGGACATTTATTTAATGACTAGTGCTGTCCTCTAGTGGCATCAAAAGTGAGTTAGTAGTGTTTTAAATCCTGTGTTCTTAACTCAGTCAAGCTATTTGGGTTTTGTAAATATTCTCTCCAAGTGTTTCAGGAGCTAGCCATGACTGTTATGCCTAAAAATATTATTTGTGGTGCAAAGGCAGTGTGCCCACACTTCCTCTAACAAATTTATCCTCAGAGTGGAGTCTTGCTTGACTTTCCACTGAAGTCCCAGTATGGGTTTTTCCCCCAGCACAATGTAACTGCTTTGCTCCTGATGACAATTCCTGTCTTGGAGACATTCTGCCAATAACAAGATTGATATGAGCCTGGGAACAGTCTCTGCCAATGATCTCTTCAGTTCTGTGTGTTGAACTCAAGTCACCTTCTTGGATCATAAATAACTCCCTAAACTATAAAATAGCTCTCTAATAGCATGAAGGGGTTTATGCTCAGTCATATTTAATATACTGTGCATGTAGTACCTTAAACATAAATTTTCAGTCATATTTAACATGTGTACATTAAACGTAAGAAAAGATGAAATAGGAAAACTGGAAAAACAAGGTAAGTCTTGCATGACTAATGACATTATGTGCCATCCAAGTATTTAAATAGCTTATGCAATCTATCCCTTTTCTTAGCTGAAAACAAACCCCAGCAATTAGAATTTTTTTTAAAAAATGGGAGAGGTATTACTTTCCAAACCCATGTATGGTTTCAAGCATCGAACAATCAATCTCCAGGCTTTCTTTTCCCACAGACACAAAGACATCTTCTGCCCTCTCCATATCCCCAACAATCTCATAAAAAATAAGAATTCAAACAAAATGTATTTTCAAAAAGGTTAAAAACATTAGTTACACAATCATTTACTTAGTATTGTTTTAGAATACTAACAGAATTACTTTCAATATAGTACAGTTAACAAATAATGTTCTTATTTTGATTTTGGGAAAACTGTCCTCACTAAAAAGAGTACATTAACAAAAAAACTCCCTGCACATCAAGGTGACATATACTAATTCGATATGATTTAGTAATGGGAAAGAACTCTGTATACTGGTAGTGCAGTTCATATGAGTGAGAAAAAGGACTCTGTTGGGTCCAACTCAGGAAACAATAAAAGGACAAGAACTACATGATATAACATGAAGTATCAGCTATATAGAAGCTCCCCTGTGGGTCCATGGGAAAGTGACATTCCTAGTTATGTGACAATCATGGTTCATCATGAGAAAAAGGAAGAAGCCAAAAAACAGAAAGCGAAATGAACACACGAGCTTTGTTTGCTATTTCCCATATGAAACACACAGATTTATGTCCATTCAGGTATTTCTCATGATGTCTTCTTCACCACCTTGGGACCACTGACCACTATAGCCCTTCACAGCAGCAAGCCATATGACGTGTTTGCGAGACGAAAGTGACAACAATAAGAGAAATAGACATCCCACAAAATGGATAAGATGCTCATGTAAATGACGTCAGAGAAATATGCTCAGCAGCTCTGTCAAAGGGAGGCTTAGGGTGAGAGGTTAGACCAGGCCATACTGTGCTGATGGGGTGGGGCTGATGAGGGTACATCTGGGTGGAGGGAGAAACATTTTGGAGGCAGGGAAGTATGTTGTATAGGGGGAGATATGGCTGTGCTATGGAGTATCAAAGGGGATCAGACACAGCCCTGCCATTCCTTTGATAGCTCAGCTATCAGAGCAGAGGACTGTAGGCTCCCTAACATGGCCATCCTTAGGTCGCTGGGACAGCTCCAGGTTGAAGTAGTGGCCTTTCGGCTCTCTCCCAGACCCTTCAGCACATCTGCCTCCTAAACAATAACTTCACACTGAGGAGGCACTTGTGACAATAGAACAGTGCAGTTGAGGACAAAAGGGCTGCTTGGGATAAAGTGAGGATGTTGGACAAGGTTCAATCAAACTCCTATGGTAGACAGGCAACTGCATGGTCCTGATTAAGAAGAGGGAGTTCAGGAACAATACTTCAGTGCAAGGGTCATGGCAATGTTCACCATCAATGGTGCACATTGGCAGGCATAGGGAGAGCAGTAAAACGAGATTCAGTGAAGGTCAGAGAGATATTAAGGTTTTTTTCAAATTATTTCCAGCTGAGGCACCTTGAAGCACTGAAATTCAAGGTCATTGCTTGAACACTGTCCAAAGCCTTCAAAATTCAAGAAGATATATTGAGGTTTAGAGATACTTCTGAGACATGGTTTCACCACAGGTTCCATGATTCCTTCGATAGCTCAGCTGGTAGAGTGGAGGACTGTAGGCTCCCTTGCATGGCCATCCTTAGTCACTGGATCAACTCCGGCTCACTTAGCATGCAAGAGGCAGTGGGATCGATGCCCGCATTCTCCAACGCTTTT